AGTTACCTCTCATCTGTCATCTAATCTATGAATTGATTATGAATTCATTATGATTGTGTTTATTCTTTTGGCAATTACATTTTTATTTCTATAAGGTCTAATTTTTTCTCTTTTAAAATTATTTTTATGAATCTATCTTTTTTCTTTAAACATTTCAAAAATGGCTGCATGTTGCAGTCTGAAAATTATATTTCACTATTAGGTATTAAAATCTGTTCAAGGACTAAATCTGTTTTCTTATTGCTAACTCACTTACATAGTTTCCTTGTTATTTTTAATAATCTTTGTGAGCTTATATTTGGTTTATTTTAACCTGTGGGATTTCTGAATTGAGAGTGCACTCTTCCAAGATAATTTACATTTGTTAGAAATCAATCTTTTGCCTTTATCAAGATCCCCAGTTTAATATAAAAGTCTTTAATTTAGTCCTTCAAACCAAAGTCTTAGTCTGTATCTCAGAAATGATTATCAGTCATTTGCTTCAAGGTCATGCTACTTTTCCTGTGTGCTTATTACTATATTCCATTTTTAGCACATGGCTAGTTTGGATAGGAAAGTAGAGTTAAGAAGGAGAGTCTTGGGCTGGTGGAGTGGCTCAAGTAATAGAGTGCCTGCCTAGCTAAGCATGAGGCCCTGAGTTTAAGCCCAGTACTGACAAAAAAAAAAAAAAAAAAAAAAGGAAGGAGAGTCTTGGAGATTTCTCTAACTCTTTGCAGACAGCTATTTTACAAAAAGGTAGTAGGAATATCTAATAGCTCCAGCATATCCAGAACAACAAGTTTACTATATTGTAACTCTTTCTTCCTAATCTTTTATTAAGAAAAATTTCAAACACAGAAAAAGTTAAAAATTTAAAACAATGTATAGAGGCATATCTAGATTCAAAAGCTGGTAACATTTAACCAAATTTGCCTTATCTTTCTTGTGTGTATATACGTTTTCACTGAAGTATTTGAAAGTAAAACTGCAAGTACCATGACTCTTCATTCCCTAAATACTACAGAATTCATATATGGTAAGGTCATCCTCCTATATAACCAAAACATCTAAAAAAATTAACAAAAATTTCATTATATCATTTAATAGCCATTTCATGTTCAAAATTACACAATTAGCTGAAAAATGCATTTTGTAACTTTTTTTCAAAGTAGGGCTTGATCAGGATTCATCAGTTATTATTTCTTTAATCTAAAACTCCACTGCCAATTTTTAAGAAATATATTGTCTCTTTGAAAGAATCTCATAAAATGTGCTACATTGTTTCCTCATGAAGTCATTTAACTTCTGTTTATGTTTTTGGTTTATTTTTTTATTTTTTCCAGTGCTTGGGGATCAAAACCAGAGCCTTATGTATGCTAGCTAGTCAGGTGCTTGACACATCCTCAGCTCTCTATTTCTTATGTCTACTATAAACTAACTAGAAGCTGAATTAGGTACAGCCTCTGGATTTTTCTACTGTAAAGGTCTACTCAGTCTTTGCAAATGTAAATCTGTGGTTGATATGTGGCAACAAGTGAACAAGTGAATGTCCTGTTCTCAACCAACATTTTAACTAATGGTTTTATCATATACTCATAGTTGTGTAAATCTATAAAGGCTTTATACTGTGATTTTTCAAATTCCTTCGTTACTTCTCTATATATTGGCTTAAACTTTTTGGTAGAGATTAACTTCACATTCCCATATACACACAATTTTTTAATATGATTATGATCTAGTGACTTTTGATGCTTCGACCAGCTGGAAGCCCACTTTTCAACAACAACAATGAACCATTAAAATTACAATCAAATAGTTTTTCAAATCACACTGCCATGGAGCAAAATATCTGGTAATATAATTAGTGGTAAGCATATGGAAGAAAACGGAATTCTTAACTGGAGGAGTAACTCAACTGGTATAGCACTTGCCTAGAAAACATTACGCACTGAGTTCATGCCCAGGTACTGCTCAAAACAAAGCAAACAAAACCAGTAACTAAAGAAACAAGCAGCAAGAAAAGAAAATGGAGTTGTTTACCAATTAGTATGGTCTGTTTAGGGAGCAAATTAACTTTAAATTCTGCAGATTTTTAACTACAGATATACCTGCATATATACACAAAGTACAAATGTATATATAAGCATATTCTGTACCATTTTAATAGCACAAAATTATAAAATATGTCTATCTTCAGGTCATAGGTTAAATTATGGTACTCCTTTGTAATGAAATATGATGCAGGAAGTTCAACACTTTTGCTATATAACAAATCGTTGTAGCTTGGCTTCCTTTCCTAACATTCTCTTCTTTTCTTATTCAAAACTCCAATTCAGCCACATTGACTGTCTTACTCTTCCTTAAACACCTAAGCACACTCCTGGCTCCAGGGCATTTCTACTTCTCCTTTTGCCTAGAAGGTACTTTCTATAGGTATTTGCTAAGCACATTCTCTGGCTTTATTCAAGCTTCTGTTGTTATATGATAAAACAGGTCTCCCTTGACCTTCCTATCTAAAATAGTACCAATCATCAGCCCTATTACTTTCCAGTTCTCTATCCTGATTCACCTTTCTACATAATTTCCTTCTACTACCTGGTGTTTATTAGTTTATCTATTTATTTTATGTATCCCCAGCACTAGAATTATCAGTTCTGATGGACTTTGTTTTGTTCACAACTATATCTTCAATGCTTAGAACAATGTTTCCATGTTGAGTGCTTAAAAATTTCTTTCATTCAAATATGCAAATGCCATAATTCACAACAGTGTAGCATTATGCTATATAGTTATATATGCAAAAAGTATCTTTAGAAGGATGCTCAAGACATTGGTTAACAGTAGTTGTCTCCAGTCAGGTGAACTGGAGGGTGAGGAGTGTGAGGAGAGAAGACTCACTATAATGTGTACACTTTTTTCACAGACTGAAGTTTTTAATCATGTACATTCACTATGGCAAAATATTAATTTTAAAAATTTAAGAAAACATATGTCCAAATGACATCTTAATTAAATCTACTGCCTTTTAAGTATTTTTAAACTTTATGCACATATTTCTCTTGACAAATTTTTAATGTTTTAACTTTTTGTTTGATATGCTTATTCACTGAGCAAGCCAGGTATGGTTGCTTGATATAGTAATCGATTAGCTGAATTAAAGACATTTTATTTATTACATACTATTTAAAAGACTACATATGCCAACATATTAACAAATGATTATTTCTTACTAGACAGCTAATGGGTCTTTATGCTTCCTTAAAGTTTATAAACTAAGCATAAAATAATTAGGAAAAAATATAAAAGGTACTTTTAAAAGATTCAGGGTTTAAATAAATATTTAAACTTTAAAAAAATTCCTGGGGTAGGAGGAGAGCTAAGGAAGTATAATGCAGGGGCTAAACTTGCTCAGAGTACATTATATGTGGGCTGGGACATGGCTCAAGTGGCAGAGTGCCTGCCTAGCAAGTGCAAGGCCCTGAGTTCAAACCCCAGTACCACTAAAAATAAAAAACAAAAATAAACACAAAACAAAGTACACTGTACACATCTATGGTACTATCATAATAAAACTCCCTGGTACTACTAAGGTATGCTTCTTAACACACAAATATTTTCTGTAAATGTGACACAAATATAAAATGAACAAATGTATTTCATATGCAATCAATAGATCACTGGTAGAGCACTTGCTTAGCAGGCGCTAGCTAGGCCATGGGTTTAGTTTCTAGCACCCCTCCCTGTCCCCTCGCCCAAATTAAAGTATTTCCTTAAGACTCTAAAAAGTTACTGTATACCAAAATTCCTAAGCATTTTATTAATTTTAATCCATCAATATTTTTTCCTTATATCATTTCTTATTCTTCCCATTTGGAACATATAATTAAATAGGCTTCTTTTAGAAGCATAATACAATGTGACCTTTTTAAAGGTTTTTAAATTAACCATGATTTTTAATTCTTCTAAAATCTTTAATTTTCTTATTCTTTATTTAGTCCTGTGTCTTCCCTTCAAGCTATAATTCTTAACACTATTTTATAGAAGACATTTCTTTGTAACAGTGGTTTTTAATTTAAAATTACTAATGTTTATCCCTGATTACCATTAATATAAACAAATTCCCATGGAAAATTCTCCTTTCCTAGAATCAAAAACTGTAAAGCCTAAAAAACTTCAAGAAATTTTGTTTCAATCCTGAGAAGTATTTTCATTCCCACTACATGGATGAAATACTTAAAGCCTAGAAAGTGATAAATTGTCCAAGATCACCTAACCTAGCTGTTTAGTAGGAAAAGAAAAAAAAAAAAAAAAAAAGAAAAACCAATTAGGGCACAGTCCTCCTTGCTTTTCATTATAATACACTTTCTGTTATAATTTTTACCAAATTATAAACCTCTGAGAGGAAAAAGAAGCTGAAGTAGCTTCTAGGTGTACAGTATGCTGACTGAGCTTATCCTTAGAAATTCTTCCAATCAGTGTCCTTCGCTGCCATTTCCTACATTATAAGAATTTCCTATTTTTTTAAAAACAGCAGGGAACCAAGCAATAGATTCCATTCTGGCCTCAGCTATCTACCAGTAGTGAGTATGAATTCCTTGTTAGAAGTTTGTAAAGCCAATAAACTATATGATTATAGTACTGAAAATTAGCTACCCTAAATTTCCATGTTTGTGAGTATACTGACTTAACAGAAAGTATACCAGTTCATGCTTGAGTTCTATAAAGTTCTTGAATTCTGTAAAGTAACATTTTTAAAACAAGGATATCTACAGAAAAATAAACTACATAAAAACAAGAAAGTAAGATAAATCTTAATAGCATGTTACTGGACTCTTGAGTGCTACCAGGGAAAAAAAGGGTTTGCTATAGAAGTTTTTCATTTCACAACAAAAATCAACTGTTAAGTTGATTGACTCTTTGTGTGTATATACATATATATATATACACACACACATATTCAGTCTCTAAGGATTATAAATGTATTGTCCTGTACAATTCTCACAATTTTAAAGAGTACATACCAACAGTTTTTTGCCGTACTATACTCCTTGCCTTTTCAGTTCCTGGGGAGCCAGTGGTTGTTGCACTTCTCTGCCTCATTGGGGCTTGGCCAGGCTGATCACGACTCCATCCTCTAGAAAATGACTTATCAACTGAAACTTTCTGAAATTCATGTCCAACTCCTAGAAAAGTACATTTTCAATCTCATTATACATAGTATGCTGATCACCTAATCCTAATCAAATAATGTGAGCTATGCTCCCTCAGATTCTTAGGCTTATTCACAATAAACTAAAAAGTAACAAGATAAAATACTATGTACTAGAAAGTTATTTTTTAGCTTTATCTTATGTAAAAATCATATTCTAAAACTTAGGCAGAATTTTTAAATTACACCATCAACAATAAACTATTATAAATTCTCTATCATCCACTTGCTTTGTAACAGAAATGGAAATATCTGGATGAGAGAGAAAAAAAAGCAAATCCTGCTAGCCAGTAATAGCCACTTGCAAAATAAACAGTCTGGAAAAAAGAGCTTGAGGTATGGCTAAGTGGCAGAATGTGCTACCTGCCTGGCAAGCACAAGGCCATGAGTTCAAATCCCATTACTGTCCCCCACCCCCAAATAAATAAATAGTAGTTTGGGTGTATTCTTAGTATCTTAGACAAAGGGATAAATATACTAACAAACAAAGGATTATAAAGACGTGTAATAATGATATAATCACTACACTACAGTCCCACCCCCTTTTAACATTAAACAAATATTTCACACCTAGGGAATGTTTGCTTTTAGTTTAAACTAAGAAAATGTTTTCAAAAGAATTTTCCAAATAATTTTTATATGCTATATAAACAGAGTAAAGTAAAATCACTTTTGGCTCTAACTAAAAATTGCTTAAGGTAATAAGGATTGGCATTTTATAAATTTCCATTTTGGTTAATTATTTAAAATTATGAAGTTTTAAATTTTATTTATTTATGGTACTGAGAAGTGAACTCAGGACCTTGCTCTTGTTAAGCAAGCGCTTTACCACCTTAGTTACATTCCCCAGTCTGTGAATTATTTAACTTTTAAATATGTACACAATACTTTATTCTTATCAAAATTGGTACTGATTTTAAGGTTAAGAAAAATGACAGGGTGCCTGTATGTTCTATTGTTGGAAATTTTAAACTTCGAGGGTAAATGGACTGGGGAATAATTAAGAAGGAATATAACTTTTACCCTCACCCTTCTCCCTAGGCTTGGTTTTCCCCCATCCAATCTTTTAAATAAATTTATGTGGAGCATCTCTGAACAACTCTTACCTTTCCCTTTATGCTTTTTTTGCTTCTGTTCACTCAGTTTATCCAATGGTAAATCACTGAGATCCAAACTATATAAATTCCTAGCTAAGACTTTTGTTAGTGTCTCCATAGTCAGTGACCACTCAGTAGCCAATTCTTCCCAATAGGTCAACGATGACAATACTGACAGTAAGTCATCCCAAAGTTCTCGGGAGATGTAGACATTCAGATTTGCTTTGATCCAGGCAACTATAAGAGTCTATACACACAAAAATTCGGAAATAACAATGTGTTTATTATGAGACTTCAAAATCAGATATTCTTTAAAAATTACCTAAAAACAAGAAAAATTTTAAATCACATCATATCCATGACCCTATCTTCATAAATAACACTTATATAAGTAATTCATGCAATCATTAGTATCTACAACAAATTTTATTTCAACAACTGCCAACTCCCAACAATCCAACAATCTACCTAAAAAGAAATCTCCCTAAAGGCATGACTGTCTTTCATGCTGTATTACATTAATGTTAAACAAAGTAAATGTAGTTTGAAAAGATAAATATTTCCATACTATTTCATGTTGAAATTGAGTTACTAACCTAAAAAATCCAAACCCATACTACCAAATAAAAGATAGAAATCAACATATAATTTGAAAGTTCTTTCTACTAAGACAAAAAAGGTACTACCGATATACTTAACGTAAAGAAATGGTTTAGAAAAACTTGAAGACACCAGAGAGGGCATTCTGCAATAAATTCAGTACAGTATAAAAAATTTCTTCAGCCAGGCTCCAGTGGCTCATGCCAGTAATCCTAGCTACACAGGTAGCAGTGATCAGGAGGATTGTGGTTTCAAGCCAGCCCAGGCAAATAGTTCACAAGACCCTCTCAAAAAAAAAAAAAACCCTTTATTAAATAGGGCTGGTGGAATGGCTCAAGGTGAAGGCCCTGTGTTCAAACCCCAGTACCATAAAAGAAAATAAAAAATAAATAATAAAAACTTCTTCATAAAAGGACAGAAACTACTGATCAGTAAGTATCCCGAGATTTTGTGGACTTCCTATAAATATATAGCTTCCTACTGAAACAAACCACAAAAACTTTTAAAAAGCATAAGTTTTCATAAGGAATTCATATAAATTTATATATGAAATGAAATGACAAACATAAACAGAACTTATAATATAGAAATAGCAGTAACTAGGTACCTCTCATTCTATTTCTAAATGTTCAAACTATAAAAAGTCAGTTCATAAAGAACCTAAATTTTTATCTTCTTGCAGTTCCAACCACTGAGTTACTTATAAAAATGGGAAAATTGCTGTTAGAAGGCTAATGAAGTTCAGAGGAGTTAGGTAACACATGCTGTCAGTTTTAAAGCATTATTTACCAGCAGCATGGAATTCTACATAAATGGCTAATATCTGGAAAAAGCCAATCTAAATGGCTACACTTATGGCTAAGAATTAGATCTAAAACAATTTTTGCCTTTAACATAAAGAACCTTTTTATCCAAGTATTTGCATTTAATGGGTCATCCTAAAAAAGTTTTGCCTTTTTTATTTTTCAAACAGTCTATTTATACATTAAAATCAGCATGTTGGACTGGGGGTGTGGCTCAAGTGGTAAAATGTCTGCTTAGCAAGTGAGAGGCTCTGAGTACAAACCCCAGTACTACCAAAAAAAGGGGGGAAAAAGTTAAAGTCAGCACTTACTCTTTGGGTTGAAAATACAATATGTAATTCTTGTAAAAGCAAAATATCACTGATACTTCAACTTAAGAATCAAGCAAAATAAAGTCTATGGAACAGCATAAGAATGATTCTTGATTATTTAGTACATTTTTTAAAATTGTGGAACAAATTCAAAGTTTTTCCTGATAATCCTAGAAATGTGGAAACTCATAAAACAATCAGGCTATTATTCTTGAAGCACTCTGTCACCTTTTTTAATCCATACATAAATATGCCACAAAAAAAGGTAAAATAAGTGTCACCCTTTGTTGTAACACTTTCACAGACCTGATATTTCCTCCATTCTTTTTATTTATTTTTGGCTTCCGAGGTTTGAACTCAGATCATCATGCTTGCTAGGCAGGTGCTCTATGACTTGATCAACACCTCTAGCCCTTCTGCTTTAGTTATTCTTTGAATAGGGTCTCAAGTTTTTGCACAGAACCAGCATCGTTAGACAATCCTCCCAAACTCTGCCATCTGAGAGGCTGAGATTAAAGATATCAGCCACTGGGCCTATTCTTTCTTCCACTCTTATGACAGATTGTAAGTTTGTTTGCATGGCAAATAGCCTATTTTAGATAAGCAGCTTAATTTTAAATTTGCTCTACAAAAGATCCTTTAATATGAACGGATTACTGATTTAAAGCTTTTTTTCCTCCAGGTAACAAGCTCAGGATTCAATGAATCTTTAAAACAATACATATCTATTGATCTATATTTATGTTTATTGCCTGGAAAAGTGGTCCTGCAAGTCGACCTGCCAAGGTCATATTTTTTTTCCCCTGGAACTGTAGAAAAGCTTGTGATGACATCTTCAGTACAGACTCCGTGACTCTGAGCAACACAAGCAGCATCTGTTCCCTTAAAGTAAAAAGATTAATTAATGTTTTCTTCCTGTGTATGTTTGCTTTTGGTTAATGGTTGACTTTCAAATTAACATGTTATAAAAACAGCATTATCTTTGTAATAACTCAAATACTAAATATTTTTCAAAGACAATTTTAAATTTTTAAAATTCTTTAAATATTAAACTTAAAAATTCCATTTTATCTTTATCAGCCATTTTAAAACCATTTTCAACAACAGTACCTTTGGGCACAAATAAGGTAGTTTCATGGTTTTAATGATGAACAGTCAGGAGAAAGAAAAAAGGTAAAGGGTGTATTCCCTTTTTCCATTCTTTTTATTTTAGCCTTTTAAAAATCTTTTGTTCTCCATCATTCTGAGTGAGGTTAGCCTGGCCCAAAAGACCAAAAATCGTATGTTTTCCCTCATATGCGGACATTAGATCAAAAGGGCAAACATAACAAGGGGATTGGACTTTGATCACATGATAAAGCGAGAGCACACAAGGGAGGTATGAGGATAGGTAAGACACCTAAAAAACTAGATAGCCTTTGTTGCCCTCAACGCAGAGAAACTAAAGCAGATACTTTAAAGCAACTGAGGCCAAAAGGAGAAGGGGACCAGGAACTAGAGAAAAGGTTAGATCAAAAAGAATTAACCTAGAAGGTGACACACATGCACAGGAAATCAATGTGAGTCAACTCCCTGTATAGCTATCCTTATCTCAACTAGCAAAAACCCTTGGTCCTTCCTATTATTGCTTATACTCTCTCTTCAACAAAATTAGAGATAAGGGCAAAATAGTTTCTGCCGGGTGGAGGGGGTGAGAGGGGGAGGAAGGGAGTGGGTAGGGGAAGGGAGAGAAATGACCCAAACATTGCATGCACATATGAATAAAAAAAAAAAAATTAAAAAAAAATCTTTTGTTCTCATTATGTACTGGAAGTCAAACTAATTCTAACATTGTTCTTACTTTGCCTCCTTCTCCTAGATGCTTACTTTTAAAACCATAAAACTACACCTGACATTTTGGAAACTGATTCAACCACATATGAAAAAGACTTTGAGAAAGGAATTTCAACTAGATATATAGCCAGGCCAGAACCTAAGTCTCTATCACAGCCTCCTTAGAGCTATTTTGTAGGCCCATTCCAGGCACAGCACTACATGGAACAATCACTGTAAAAAAATGTGGCCAAAGCAGCAGGAGGTCCCACATCTAGATATCATGGTTTTTCTGGAAGTAAGGACAGAATCAAATAGAAAAAAGTAATTGAACTTAAAATATATTGAATTCATTAGCAAACAAATGTATACATTCAGAAAATAAAATCTAAAATGTCATATTTGTAAACTTAGGCTTCTAGTTAGTCACGTGAAATGAAAAGCTAATTGAAAACAAACACATGTGCAATATTTTATAAAATGAACCTTATCTAATTTATGGTCAAATCTTAACTCATTCGTCAAGTAACCTTTTCACTTTGTATACAATAAGAATGATTTTAATAAAGAAAAATCTTGTAAATCCAATGTAAATATATGGCAATCTCCTAAAGTACTATGACCTTAAGGGAACTTATACACATGTAAGTAAATGTAAAAATGATAAAATAAAATTTAAAAATTGCACAATAAATTCTAAAATTATGTTCCACATAGCAAGACTCCTGGCTCATTACTGATTTAAAGTATATAGAAAAAAAATACAAAACTAAAAGAAGAATGGTCCAGAATCAGAAATGACCACAATGCAAATTTCTGCTCACCACTCATTGGCCGTGTGAACAGACACTTAATCTCTTTGCACCTAAAAATTGTCTCGTGAAAAAAATAAAGATATTATTTACATCATACAGTTCTATAAGGATTAAGTAAAGAAAAGAATGTAAAGTGATTAGAAAGATACCTGGCACAAAGGAGTGTTCCAAATATGTTAATTACTACTACTACATGTAATTCTATTAATACTGCTACTAAAGAGTTTTTTCAAAATAAAGCCATTTTCCCTTATGTAGCAAAATATAAATTATCTTTTGACCAAGTGCTTCCATTTTTTTAAGAATGAGTGAAATGAGAATAATTAAATATATACAAGGATGTTCACTGTCTTCCCCTCCCCATCCCCCTAAAACAAAAACAAATAATTACAAGTCCATTAAAGGAGACTGCCTAAGAAAATTCTGGTTCATACATACAGCATAATACATTTAATTTTGTGTATGGTTTGGTCAAGAGAGTGAGCTCTGGGTTAACTTTTTTTTGGCAGTGCTGGGGATTGAACTCAGGGCCTCTCAACTTCCTTTCTCCCTCCTTTCTTTTTTCTTTCTTTTAAAGCTTTTCTTTGTTTGAATTTTACAAAAACCATGCATCACTTTTACAAAAACTGCAGAACTGCTCTCCTCCAAAGTGTCTACTTTTCTACTCAGTTAAACAAGTCTATAGAGAGTACCAACAATATACAATATACTGTGCTGACAAATGTTGGAAATATAAAAATAAGACAACCTCTATTATATCTCCTAGGGCCTCTCAAATCATAGGGGTAAATAGATATTTACACAAGTAATTTGGGGGTAAGACAATTTTCAATGTCTTACATTCAAACACTTAAGAAAGGTAAGTCCAAGAGGTCTTGTGGAAGCTTGATAAAAAATGTTTGAAAAACTGGGCAAGATGGCTCATGCCTATTATCCTAGCTACTCTTCAGATAGAGATTGGGAGGCTCACAGCTGGAAGCCAGCCTGGGCAAAAAGTCAGTGAGAACCCCATCTCAACCAACAAGCTGGGAGTGGTACTAGGTGCCTGTGAGTACAGCTATATAGGAGGCACAGTCAGGAGGATCTCATTCCAAGGCTAGCCCCAGGCAAAAACAACAGACCCTATACAAAAAATAACTAAAGTGAAAAGGGCTGGGGGGCATGGCTTAAAGTGGTGCATTTCTCTTAGGAGGCAACCAGGAAGATCGCTGTTCAAAGTCAGCCAGGGAAAGTAGTTCAAGTGACACTATCTAGAAAAAACTCTTCACAAAAAAGGGCTGAGTTCAAATCCCAGTACCTAAAAAAAAAAAAAAAAAAAAAAAAAGTGGTGGCATTTCTGCCTAGGAAGCAAAAGACCATAAGTTCGGCCTAAGTACTGCCAAAAAAAAAAAGTTTGAGATAAAGTGAAAGGGAGTACTGTCTCATGATTAGCATATAAATTTTTTAATTCATTCACTCAATAGGAGAATTAAAATATTGTCACACTACTTGTTCATCCACACTATTTCTCTAAAAATTACTGTTTATATACTCAATGGAAATACATAAAGATAAGGAATTTTTACCAAGTCTTTTTGTCCATTGATACTTGCACAACCATGTACCGATAAATGTTAAGAATGCGTTTACACATGTCTGTGTGCTCATCCAGAAGACTTTTTATTTCATTTGCAGGTTCAAGAAGAAATATGTTTGATGAGTTTATAATGAACACCTATGATAAAAGAAATCATTAGGTACTGACCATGGAATTTCAATGGCAAATTTCTTATTCAAAGAGAAATAAACTCATACTCATTGCTAGATGAACTCTAACAAACTTAAAACACTGTGGTTAATGTTAACCTTACTTCTACCTCCAACTTAGAACCTGAAATTTAAACTCATTAACCTACCAATTTTTATGCTTACCTATATAAAATATATACCTGTATGTTTACAAATATAAAATTACTAATAGTCACTCAAAGCAAATGTTCCAAATCCAAAAATAGCACTTCTAAATTCAGAGTGTTAATATCATAACCTTATTATAACCATAAAATTAAAAGGATAACAAATGAATACAATTATTTGAGGATAAAAGATGACACCTAAATCAGGAAGAATTTTCTGAGTGAGTTGGATTAACACTTTATCCTCTTTTCCTTACTTATTTTTATGTGTGTACATATTTTGGTGATAAATGATTGCATAAGCAGATTACATATTATAACTATAACTGGAGGAGCAGTAATATGTATTTTTTATTAAATTCATTTATAATTAGCAGCTCATTAATTATATGTTGTTTACAGGAGAAACTAATAATGCAACATTTGTGTACAGAGGCTCTCTAGGACACTTTGGAAGAATAGAATATTACATCTACAAACTTAAAACATTTACATCTACATTCACAATTCTGATTTCAATCCCTGGAAGAACTGCGTAACAAAGTACAATTGTGTAATTCTATGAATAAAGAATGCCAGGCAAGGTGACACAAGTTTGTAATTCCAGCATTTGGTAAGTCGAGGCAGGAGGCCTGGACTATACTAGATAGTGAGACCCTGTCTCAAAAAAACTTAAATAAAGGACTGGGGTGGAGCATGGCTGAAGTGGTAGAGCACCTGCCTAGTAAACATGAGGCCCTGAGTTCAAACCCCACTACTACAAAAATTAAATAAGGAAAGTTTTAAAATAGTAAAAACAGTTGATTCTGTAAATCTAGCAGACACTGACCAACAAAAGAGAGAGGCACAAACAAACATAAGAAATTAAATGAGGCTGGGCACCAGTGGCTCATGCCTATAATACTAGCTACTCAGGAGGCAGAGATCAGGAGGACCAAAGTTCAAAGCCAGCTCCAGCAAATAGTTCAAAAGATCCTATCTCAAAAAAAAACCCTTCACAAAAAAAGGGTTGGTGCAGTGGCACAAGGTGAAGGCCCTGAGTCCAAACCCCAGTTCTAAAAAAAATAAATAAATGAAATAAAAAATTGAAATTTTAATGAAATGGATTATTTTAGAGGAAAAAAAACTGATTCAAGAAGAAACAGGTAAGATACACATATAAACACCGTGAAAGAAACTGAACTGGTAATCTAGGTCTCCCTGATCCTTAACAATAGGCCTAGTAAACTCTATAGGCAGTTTTGCTCAATTTTCATAGAAGATGTTTCCTATCTTATATAAGCTCATGCAAGGACAAAGAAGCAAAACCTCCCAATTTATTTTATAAAAGTATAATCTTGTTATCAAAAAACAAAAAAGAACTACTTAAGAAAAATAAAAAGCCAATATTCCTTATGAACACATACAAATCTTGAAAAATATTAGTAAATCAAAATGAAAAAAGTAGATAAAATATATATTGGTCATATTACTTTATGACCAAGTTATGTTTATTCCAGAAATATAAGGATGCCTTAAAATAGAAAAATCTATTGATATAACCTATCAATAGATTAAATAAAAAGCATGATCATCACAACATACACAGACAAAAATCATTCAGCACTTAATGTATATTTTCTTAATTTAGGTAAGAAAAAAAATAGAAAACTCCAAAATCTGAAAAACAACACTTACAAAAAGTATAACAAATGTATATATAGCAAGAGAAATTGAGAACTACTGCCAAAGCCCAAGAATAGAACAAGGGGCACTCACCATCACCTCACTGTCCTGAGAGGCCCAGTAAGCACAAAAGAAGAAGGGAATCAGAGGAGAAATATGAATGAATTGAAAAGGAAAAGACAAAAACGAGTTATGTAGCCATATGGGATAACAGCATTCCAGACATAAGGAAAAGCAAGTTCAAAGAAATAGCACGTTTGGGAAATTAGAAGTAATCCAGAGGGAGAGCAGTGGGACATAATGAAAAACAGAGCCAAGGTGTGTAGAATAGAACTACTCTCACTACCAACAAAGAAAGACGAGGTGACCACTCCCTCCCACCATCTTTTACAGATCAATTCTATTATAAAATGCAATACAAAAAAGGAACAGTAAAAAGAAATGAAAAAAGAAAAATATGCAAAATACAAACCCAAACTTTTCATTAAAATCGAGATATTAAACTATTTAACTTCTAAATTTACCCTCAATTTTGTAATTATCTTGTGGCCAGCACTAATCTAAAGACCACAATATGAAGAACAATAATGTAAAAGCCTTGTGAGCCATTACAAGGAATTGTTTTCATACTTAGTAATAACGGAAAGCCACTGAAAGGTCTTGAGCAGAAAACTGAAATGATCTGACTTACATTCTATAGGATCCCTCTGGCTACTGTATTGAGAACAGACCAAGGTCACAGATGCTCAAAAGCAGAAGCAGAGAGACTAATTTAAGGAGTTTTCCGAAATAATATAGATGAAAGATTATGGAGGCTTAATAAGAATGAGAGTGAGTATTGAGTGGTACTCAGATTTTGTATACATTCTGAGGACTGAGCCAACAAGATTTGTTGTTAAATTAGACAAATGTACGATATAAATGAAAGACAAGAAATGGATGCCCTGAGAAATGGGAAAACAAATGCCATTAAATGAAACAAGGGAGAGTTTGGTATTCACAGTCAAGTTTAAGACATCTGTTAAATATTCAAGTGAAAGTGCTAACTTGATATTTGAATATGAGTTCAGAATTCAAAGTCCAGATGAGAAGTTCCAGACAAGAGATAAAATTTTTAAGTTGTAGTATACAGATAATATTTAAAGCCGTGGAATGCATAAGATCAGTAAGAGAATAAGTAGAAAAGAGACTCAAGAAATGATTCCTGGACATTTCAACATGAAAAGGTCAGGGAAATGGAAAAGTCATTTTTTAAAAATCTAAGTTGAGTGACCAGTGAGGTAGAAAACAGGAGGGTATACTATTCTAAAGGTCAAGTGCAGAAGGGTCTCAAGGAGGAGGGAACAATTTCCTTTGTAAGATGTTCCTCACAAGTCAAGTAGGTTAAGGATTTTAAAATGTACTTCTGATATAACAAGGTAGAAGTCAGATGTGGCTTTGACAAGAGTAGTTTGATTAAAGAATTAACTGCTAGTTGGGTGCTGGCAAATCATGCCTGTAAAACTAGCTACTTGGGAGCCTGAGATCGGGTATGAGGCCAGTCCAGGCAAATAAATAACAAGACCCCATCTTCAAAAATAACTAGACTTACAATGCTTGTCAATATGTATATTATGAAGTGAAAGATAAGGACAAATACCAAAAATCAATATGGTAAAATGATAACTGACAAATGTGGGTGGTACACTATTTATATTTATAAAATTTACTATATACTAAAATCCTGAAATAGAAATTCTTGAAATATTACATGATTTTACTTTTTAAAAAGAGCAATAAAGTGATCCACCTGCAAAATTGCCTGGGTACCAGCTCGTATGTTTTGTTCTGTAGCTTCTTCAGAGGCATTATGAAGAGTGTCTTGGTAGGAGCCATTTTTTGCCCAACTAGAATTTCGAATGTGCTCAGCAATACTGGTCCCATTTTCCTGAAGCAAAACATCAATATTTATTTAATATTTCATTAATAAGAATGCTGCAACAGGTCAATAAGCAGGAAAAGTATATGGATCCTCCTACTAAACAGGTTTATTTCTCTCAAAATAGGTACTTTATCTGCTTACAAAAGCAATGTATAGAGGCTGGAGGTTCAAATAGTAGAGCATTTGCCTAGCAAGAGCTAAGCCCTGAGTTCAAATCCCAGTCCCATCAAAAGCAATGTATATTCATTGTTGTTTTTTTAAAAAAGGTTCTCATTGACGTTTTAAAAAATCATGAATAATAATTTAGTTAATACCACTTCAGATATAGACATTTTCTATAAATCTAATGCATAAATCTCTGTTCCATACTCTCAAACACTCAACAATGTAATTATACTATTAACAGTTTTGTTAAAGGATGAATTCTGTTTTAAGTTAAATGCTAGAATACAAATAACTTAAAAACAGAAAATAAAATACTTTATTTAACTTAATAGTAAAATTTCTATTGTTGTAAGAATAATGTTGACACTTTAAACCACTAATGCAATAAAATTCCCTTTACTGTAAAAATAGTGATACTTCAAACCACTAAGACTGTAGCTTTCTTAAAAGGAATACAAATAGGTAAAGAAACTGTCAAAATATCCCTATATGCAGATGACATGATCCTATATCTTAAAGACCCAAAAAACTCTACTCAAAAACTCCTAGACACCATAAACAGCTACAGCAAGGTGGCAGGATACAAAAATCAATCATTAGCTTTTCTATACACCAACAATGAACAACTTGAGAAAGAATATATGGAAACAATTCCATTCACAATAGACTCAAAAAAATCAAATACCTAGGAGTAAACTTAACAAAGGATGTGAATGACTTCTATAAGGAGAACTACAAACCCCTGAAGAAAGAGATTGAGGAAGACTACAGAAGGTGGAAAAATCTCCCATGCTCTTGGATTGGTAGAATCAATAGTAAAATTGGCTATATTACCAAAAGCAATCTACATGTTTAATGCATTTCTCATCAAAATCCCAACGATATTCATCACAGATGTGGAAAAATCTACCCTAAAGTTCATTTGGAAACATAAGAGATCACAAATAACCAAGGCAAAACTCAGCAAAAAGAGCAATGCTGGAGGTATCACAATACCCAACTTCAAACTATATTACAAAGCAATAGCAATAAAAACAGCATGGTACTGGCATAAAAACAGAAATGAAGACTAGTGGAACAGAATAGAGGACCCGGATATGAATCCACACAGCTATGCCCACCTTATTTTTGACAAAGGTGCCAAAAAACACACGATGGAGAAAAGACAGCCTCTTCAACAAATGTTGCTGGGGAAAGTGGTTATCCGCCTACAAAAAACTGAAACTAGATTCATGTCTATCACCCTGTACTAGTATCAAGTCAAAATGGATCAAGGACCTTAATATCAGTCCTGAAATTAGTACAGGAAAGATCAGGGAATACTATGGAAGTAGTAGGTATAGGCAAGAACTTCCTCAATAGAACCCCAGCAACTAAGAGAAAGGATGGACAAATGGGACTTCATAAAATTAAAAAGCTTCTGTACAACAAAAGAAATGGTCTCTACACCGAAGAGGCCATCCACAGAGTGGGAGAAAATATTTGCCAGCTATACAACAGACAAAGTACTGATAACCAGAATATACAGGGAGCTCAAAAAACTAAACTCTCCCAAAATCAATGAACCAATAAAGAAATGGGCAACTGAACTAAACAGAACTTTTTCAAAAGCAGAAATTCAAATGGCCAAAAAACACATGAAAAAATGCTCACCATCTCTGGCCATAAAGGAAATGCAAATCAAAACCACACTAAGATTCCACCTCACCCCTGTTAGAATAGCCATCATCAAAAACACCACCACCAACAGGTGTTGATGAGGATGTGGGGAAAAAGGAACCCTCATACACTGCTGGTGGGAATGCAAGCTAGTGCGACCACTCTGGATAACAATATGGAGCCTTCTTAAAAAATTAAACATAGATCTGCCATATGATCCAGCAATACCACTCCTAGGGATATTCCCAAAAGAATGCAACTCAGGTTACTCCAGAGGCACCTGCACACCCATGTTTATTGCAGCACTATTCACAATAGCCAAGTTATGGAAACAGCCAAGATAACCCCACTACTGATGAATGGATTAAGAAAATATGGTATTTATACACAATGGAGTTTTACTCAGCCATGAAGAAGAATGAAATCTTATCATTCACAAGTAAATGGATGGAACTGGAGAAAATCATCCTGAGTGAGGTTAGCCAGGCTCAGAAGACCAAAAATCATGTTCTCCCTCATATGTGTTTAGATCTAGGGCAAAGGCAGTAACGTTTTTGGACTTGGGTCACATTTTAAGGGGACAGCACATATGGGAGGAATGGGGATAGGTATGAAACCAAAAACTTGAAAGTGTCTGACATCCCCATTTCAGAGGAGCTAATACAGTAACCTTAAAAGACAGAGGTCTATATAGGAAGGTGATATATGGGAAGGTGACCGGGAAGTAGTGAAGAAGTCAGGTAGAGATGAATACACATGTCCATGGAAGCAATGCTAGGAATCTCTCTGTATACCTATCCTTATCTCAACTAGCAAAAATGCTATGTCTTTCTTATTATTGCTTATGTCTTCTCTTCAACAAAATTGGAGAAGAGGGCAGAACAGGTTCTGCCTAGAAGCAAGGGGGGGTGGGTGGGGGAGAACTGACCCAAACAATGTATGCACATGTGAATAAATGAATAAAGAAAAAAAAAAGACTATAGCTTTCTGCCTGAGTTTTAGCTGTTGTAAGTATTACAAAGTAGGAGTTTCCTCAAGTAAAATTTCATTCATTGAAGTTCTGTTACCATACAGTTTCTTCTTGCTTTTAGTTACTCACCAATATTTTTTTCTTTCTATTTTTGCCACACTGGGGATCAAACTCAGGCCTTTACATGTGCTAGGTAGGCACTCTACCACTGAACTACATTCCCAGCCCTTCTTCACAATATTTTCATAGGTTTTTAAAATATGTATATGTGTGTGTGTGTGTGTATATACACACATATATATTGTGTGTGTATGTGTGTGTGTGTGTGTGTGTGTAGTTTGTAATTGTAACATGCAGAAGCTTTAGTCTCCCACAAACTACTCTGCCATTATCAGAAATGATAACTGGAACTCAGCTCTGTCTGAGTAACCAATACACTATGGTTTAGTCTAGTCTTTCTCTTGAACCCTATATCCCTATGATCAGATATCTTTTTTTTTTTCTTTTTAATGAGACTGGGGTTTTAACTAAGGGTTTCGTGCTTACAAAGCAGGTGCTCTACTGCTAGAGCCACATGTCTAGTCTATTTTTCTGTTTACTTTGGAGATGAGGTCTCTTGAACTATTTGCCTAGGCTTGCCTCAAACCGTGATCCTCCTGATCTCAGCTTTCCAAGAGCTAGGATCATAGGTGTGAGCCACCAACAACCAATCAAATACAAACTTTTGAGAATTCCTATCTGTATGCAAGTAGCAACTACCCTTGTAAAATTAAAAAAACTTGATTTTACATCTCTCTCAGTCAATTAACGATCAAGGCACACTAGTCTTACCACCAAGGAAGCTAATATAGCTGTCCTATCCCTTATAGTCCCATTGCAACTGCCACTGTCCTATTTCAGGTAATTATCTCACTTTTGAACATTACTAATACTTCTAACTTGTCTCCCTGCCTCGAGGCTGGCCTCCAATCTATCTATGGTCTGGTATAATCTTTCTGAAAGATATAAATGTTCATGCTATTCTCCTACTCATAACCCTTCAAAGATTTTCCAGTGTTTCGACTATAATCAAAGTGCGCTGAATATGTTATACAAGTGACTGAACAGAATTTAACCCTTATCTCATTTTCTGTCACACTCTCCCATCTACTCTTAGCTACAGTCAAAGAAAGGTATTTTCAAGCTGATAGAATAGCTCAAGTGGTAGACTGCTGGCCTTGCAAGCATGAGGTCCTGAGTTCAAACTCCAGTACTGCCCCCCGCCAAAACAAATAAAAGTTTTTTCATACCTTTATAGATGCCATTCATACTCTGTGGCTCCTCTGCCATTTATCTACCTGCTTTTCATATTATACCACCACCTCAATGAAGCATTCCTTGATTTCCCCAGGCTGAGTAAAAGTATTCCCTATTTCATGCTCTAGGATCATAGGAGTAACATTATTTTATAATACTTACTTTGCATGTTTATCTTCTCACTAACCATGAGTTATATGAAAGTGGAAATAATGTTATAATTCTAACACTAGCTCTTAATGTAGACAACATCATGCTTTATAGAGCATTTTGACATTGGTGAGGGTATTTTATTGTCACAAGATTTGAAAGGTATCATTGGGATTTAATAAGATGAGCAAGGGATTGCCAAACTTCCTAAGGGGTATGACAGTCCTGTGCATATACACAGTATCTTGTATTCTACAAGTCTTTCCAATGTCTCAGACACAGTATGTAGAATAAAAAGTCATTCATAATTATCTGAATCAGTAAGTCCATTTTACAATTATAACGCCAAAATTTTAAATGATTTTAATATAATGAAATTTACCAGAAATGTAAAACAATGAATAATTTTACTTTTGGGTTAGATATATAACATTAAGCAAGACTTAGTGGCATTTTGGAGAAAAAAAAAAATCACAACTCTAATGACAATGTTGTTGTATTTGAGTTTCCAAAAGAATGTGGATATACAACATACCTATGTCATCAACTCACCATTCCACTGTTTTTAAATTATGTATACAGACAGTTATACTCTATCACTCTTATTTAAATGAAACAGAGAAGGCAAAGTACACATAAGTACAGCATGACTAAAATGTTGTGGAAAATAATTTAGACTGATGTTTACTTTCTAGTGTAATATACTTTTTTCTTTTTTCTTTAATTTTTTTGTTTGTTTGGTTGGTTTAGGGTGCTGGATATTATACCAGGCCCTCATGCATACTAAGCACACATTGTATCACTGAACTAATCCCTAGTCCCAATTATATTTCTCAATATTTTTCCCCTTCTTAGAACTAGGGGAGGCTGAAGCAGGAGTATCCAAATATCAAGGCCAGCCTGGGCTACATAGCAAGACCCTGTCTTAAAAACAACAACAACAAAGATTCAGGAGTGGAGGTGCACAGTTGTAATCCCAGCACTTGGGAAGTGGATGCAAGAGAATCACAAGTCAAGACCAGCCTGGGGCTATGCACTGGGGCCTTGCTTTTTTATTTTTTGCTTTTTTTTGTTTGCTTGTTTTAAGTAGGAGGGGAGAGTGCTCTGTAAACATACTCAAGCATTTGTGCATGCACACACACTCTCATTCTCTCTGTGTCTCTCTGTCTCTCAATGAATCCTTGTAGAACTGGCCTGCTCATTTGTATATTAATACCCTGATTAAATTCCATTGGTGAGGTTAGATTAACTTCTAAAGTAAACATTAATTAATTATTCCTGTCTTCATTTAATAAGATATAAAGTAAGATACTCTGTATTGAAAAGACAAATCAGATGAAACACAATTTTACTCTTCATTCCATCTTAGCTTTTACTTCTTGGGAGAGTGTGGCCTGTGACTAGGGTCAAAACAACCAAAATACAAGAATTCATTTAGGCTGAAGGAATAAATGGAATCAAGAACCCAAATGTTACCTCTACACTCTTCTTTCCCCTCTGTGAGTAAGCGCCATTCTTTCTTATCACAGACCTGCATATTTTATCAGGTCAGAAGTTTCACATTCTGCAACTGCTGTGGTGCAAAAGAGTCCAGAGTAGAATTCTGGTGGGTAGCCATTCAAAGCAGGCACTACTTCCAGGAAAGAGGGAGTTGTAGTTTGGTAACCACCTCACAACACATGTCCTACAAAAAATCCATTTTCACGTAGTAGTACAGTTCAAAATATGATGACCTCTAACTTTGAACTATACAATGACTTAAAGAATCAGTATATGAACTTAATACTAACTTTTAAAACTTATGACATCATTGAGCTTTTGGATAGGGCACTGAGGTAACGACTGTTATATTATACCTTAATTGCAAAACACACTGAAAATTATCTTTATCTTCCCCTCTTAAGTACATTTGTGTTAATACATAATCACATTTTTATGAAATTCTATTAACTACTATAACCTTAAAATGTTACCTCTTCTCTTTTTTCCCCTTCTTCCATTGAAATATCATGGTCTGTGACATTTTCAATGCAAGGTATGTCTGAAGAAGTGATCACAGTTTCCTCAGGCTCTTGCATAAACAAAGGTTTTTCCTCTTGCTGGATCCATTCTTGATATACTTTTACCACTTTCCTCATAGCTGCTGCTTCACAAATTGGTAATAAAAACGCCTAGGGAATAAAAAGAAAATAAAGACAATGCTACACATTCTTTTGCCACAAACCACTAAGATGTTTCTATCTTATAGATGAGAGCTATAAAACACTTCAAAAAGCTAATGAATTCACTGTCACAAAAACTCTCTTATCTCCAGGTACTATGTACATACATTGTGAGAAAAATGTTTATGGTAGACAGCCACTAACTTCCAGTGGAAGGAACAAAGATGTTTTAATTGTACCACCTCAAGATGGTAATATTTCTTGTTCCATGAAACTGTGCTCTTACAAGTTCAACATAAATACAACTTTTCATCATAAACCACATTTTTGTAATTTGCATTATTGCTGGCTTTTGGGAATTATCACTATTAACACATTTTAATAACAAGACTTTAAAAGCTAAAAATTAAATTTGACCATGAAGAATAAAAAGAAAATCACATGTAACATAGCAGCTTGAGTTTTGTAAGTACATAAAGTAAAACATGGCTGGACATGGTGGCTCATGCCTGTAATCCTAGCTACTTGGGAGGACTGCGGTTCGAGGCTAGCCCAGGCAAACAGTTGTGAGATTCCATCTCCAAAATAACCACAGCAAAATGGACTAAAGGTGTAGCTCAAGTGGCAGAGCACCTGCCTAGCAAGCGTGAGGGCCTGAGTTCGAACCCCAGTACCACACACATAAAAAAGTTACTGAGACCCTATCTCAACCAATAAAATTGGGCATGATGGCCCATGCCTTCATCCCAGCAAAGCAAGAGGTATAAATAGGAGGATCTTGGTCTGAGGCCAGCTTGGGCATAAAGCACGATCCTATCTCAAAAATAACCAAAGCAAAAACAAAACAAAACAAAAAAAATGGAGTGGGCAAGAGCCTGGATCAAGTGGTAGAGTGTCTGCCTAGCAAGCACAAGCCCTGAGTTCAAACCTCAGTACAACAGAAAAAAAAGAGTTAACCTTTTGATATCTCATTTTATATATATATGCAAATTCTAGAATTTAATAACACAAAAATACTTAGAAATTTAAAAGGAATATCTTATTGTTATTCTTTGGTTCAGATATTTTCTAAGTTTTATTAACATTTAAAAAAAATAAATTTTTTTCATCATAAAAATACTACTTTTTTTTAAGTGTTTGAACTCAGGGCCTTACTTACACTTGCAAGGCAGGCGCTCTACCACTTGGGTCACTCCACCAGCCCAAATTACTACATTTTTGCAGCCAAAAAAAGATTTAGTCTCAACACGGAAAAAAACAACAGTAAAAATACTCTTAATCTCACTAGCCAAACTCCTTTCCTTACGTATGTGTTTATGGTTAGCATTTTTATTTAATTTACAAATAAAAATAGAATTAAATTGCTTCTACTTTTTCATTTTACCATCACTACTTATTAATGTTAACTTTAGAAATCAATGTTCAATAGTAATTAGATGAAATGAATGAAATGACAACAACAAATCAGCATCCAATGATGAAAGTTAATAGGTAATACCAACAGAGTACATTGTTTGTAATCCTCTTATTTGTTATCATTGATTCCCTAGCTAACTACATTTTTTCATGCTTTCCTCAGTCTAACAAGTCCATTCCTAAATTCTCACTCTCATATTCTAGTGACGTAATGGTCACATCCATCATTTTGATCACTATTGCCTGCTATAACACTGTTTCACAGTTGTAGCAACAGCTCAGCTTTTTAAAATAAAAAAGATTCAAAATAAGATGGGTGCTGATGGCTCACACCTATAATCCTAGCTACTTGGACGGGTGAGAGGAAGGATCGAAGTTGGAGGCCAGCTGGCAAATAGATTGTGAGATCCTCATCTCCAAAATAACCAGAGCAAAATGGACTGGAGGTGTGGCTCAAGTAATAGAGCACTGGCATTGCAAGCATGAAGTCCTGAGTTCAAACCCCAGTCCCACAAAAAAAAAAGAAAGATTCAGAGTAAATTTTTAAAATTCAAAAAAGTTACATTCTAAATACTGAAGTTTTATTCTAAATACAAAACCATAACTTATTTTTAGAAATTAGTATGGAAACTCTCCATACTTTCCTCTTCCACTTAATTTTATTACAAACCTACAACTTTAAAAAACTAAAAAAAAAAAAAAAAATCATCTCTGAAGCTAAGACATTTATTACTGAATGCTTTGCCAGAATATTCCCAAATGGTCTGATGAATTTACTACAGATCAACATGTAATTACCCTCTTTACCTTTAGGTTTTCCTTAACCGAAGTTAATTCTTACAGATTCTAAAATATGATTTTATTGACACACTAAATACAAATCTGAAGGAAAGACTAGTGGCTAGCCATAGCTAAAAGATAATGCATAAAACCATAAGGAAAATTTATATATTTACAATGATAAATAATGGTCACAGAAGCCAGAACAATGAAGTCAATCTACCAGTAGTTTATCCCTGTATGAGAAGCAACAAATGACACAGAATAGCCAAAGCAATCTTAAGAAAGAACAAAAAATCTGGAACAAATCACACTTCCTGATTTCAAAATATATTATAAAGCTATAGTAACTAAAACAGTACGGTATTGGCATAAAACCAGCATATAAACCAAATAAAACAGAACAATATCCAGAAATAAATCCACTATCAACTGATCTTCAATGAGGATTCAAGAACACACAAGGGCGAAGATAGTTTCTTCAATGAACAGCATTGGAAAAACTAAATACCCATAGGCAAGAGAAAAAAATGTGACCCTTACCTTACATCATACAAAACTCAAAATGCATTAAAGATGTAAACTACAAATCTATTAGAAGACAACATAAGGAAGATTCTCTTTCACACTGATCTGGGCGATCATATTTTGGATATGACAACAAAAGGAATTATATTAAGCTAGAAAGCTTCTGCATAAGAAAGGAAATAACTAACAGAGTGAAAAAAGAACCTATGAAATGAGAGAAAATATTTGCAAACCATATATCCAAAATATCTAAGGACTTGAAACACCTCAGCAGCAAAAATCAAACAACTCAATTTTTTAAATGAGCAAAGGATCTGGAGAGATATTTTCCAAAAGAAGACACATAAATGGCCAACAGGTTTATGAAAAAAAATCATTAAGGAAAGACAAACAAAAACATTAAGATATCACCTCACATCTGATAGGCTGTGTTTAAACCCAGTACTGCCAAGAACAAACAAACAAACAAAAAAAAAGAGAGAGAAGAAACTCAGACTAGGGGGTGGGTGTGGTAGCATACTCTTGTAATCCCAGTACTTAGATCATGGTTTGCAAGGCAGCATGGGATGCCATAGTAAAAGTGGAACCCCACCCACAACCAAAAAACAAGGAACTTCTGCCATTAGCCACAATATGTCACAGAGGACACTATGCTAAGTGAACTAAGTCAAGACACAGAAAGACAACTTCTATACCATCTCACATGTGGAATCTTATAAAAGTCAAATTCATGAATGCACAGAATATAGTGGGAGAAATGGGGACACGTGGGCCAAATGAAACAAAAAGTTCAATAACACATGATGAATAAATTTGGATTCCTTATGCATGCATGGCAGCTATAGTTAATTCTACTATATTTTATGCCTGAAATTTGCTATGGTATTGATCTTTACTGTTCTCACAACACACAAAAAAATCTCTAACAATATAAAGCAATGTATGTGGTAATCATCTTGACTGTGGGAATCACAATGTATAAATGTATCAAAATACCACACTGTATATCTTAAAAATACACAATTTTTTTTCTTAAGTAAGATTCAGGGTCTTGCTACACTGGCCAGGCAGGAACCCAACTCCTAGAGATCCTCCTGCCTCAACCTCCTAAGTAGCTGAGATTACAGATACCTGTCACTATAACAGCTTTATACAATTTGATGACTGGGGATTTTAAGAATGAAAAGCTGTCAATTAAAAGAAGACAAAAAATTGAAGAAAATGAAAAAGAACCACAGACAAGGTTTAAAAAAAAAAGCACTTGCCAAGCATAACCAAGCTAGGAGTTCACTGGAGTTCAATTCCCTAGAGGTGAAATAGCAAATAAATAAATAAATTTTTAAATAAAAACAAAAGGGATGGGGGCATAGCTCAAGTGGTAGAGTACCTGCCTAGCAAGCACAAGGCCTTGAGTTCAATCCCCAGCACTGTAAATATATATATTTATATATATGTGCATGTATATGTACATATGGCTAATTCTAATAAAAATAAAGTAGTATAGCTACTCAATATAGAAGACAAAATAGACTTTTATCAAACTAACATATGAAAAGAAATGTAAATAAGTGGTTGAGGTTGCCAAGAAGATATAAAATTATAAACTTGTATGATATTAGTTACAATATCTTCAAATACTTAAAAGAAGCTGGTGGTGGCTCACACCTGAACTGAAATTGGGGAGTGGGGAGTGAGAAATAGTTTGTGAGATCCCATCTCCAAAATAACCAGAGCAAAATGGACTGGAGATATCCATTTTGGTAGAATTAGTATCATATAGACTATGTTCTCTGACCAAAATAAAATTACATTAGAAACTTTTAAGAAAACTATAAAAATCTAATTTTTGGAAGATACACATTACCAAACAACTCATAGGCCAGAGGATATTATTATGAAGACTGAGTAATTATAAAAGTGCCAAACATGAACATTTTGTAGAATGTAACAAAAATAGTATTAAATAAATTAGTATCCTGAAAAATGCTTATTAAGGAAAAACTGAGTCTAAAAATTCATTAGCTAGGGAAAGAACCACCAATATAATCAAGAGAACTAGAAGGAAGGAATTAACAAGGAAGAAAAAATTTTTAAAAATGCAAATACAAAACAAAATCAAGAAAGCCAAAAGTTCATTCTTTGAAAAGATTTAAAAAACTGACAAATCACCTGGTAAGAATCATCCAAAAGAGATAAAATAAAAACAATGGTCAAATAAATACCAATGGGAATGAAAAGAAAGAACATGAATATAATTACTTCTAGAAGTAAAAAGATTAGAAGAGGATATAACAAACTTACATCAGTAAATTTAAAAATAACTGCAATAAAGAAATTCCTAGAAAAACAAACATATTTAAACCAGTTTAAGACACTGAAAACCTGAATAGTTCTACAGGCTTTCAGACTTGTGACCATTAGCCAGGCATGGTGGTGCAGGTCTATAATTCTAGCTATTAGGAGGTTGAAGCAGGAAGACAGCGAGTTTGAGGCTAGTTTAGCATATAGAGTGAGTTCAAGGATAGCCTGCTCTACAAAGCAAGACCCTATTTAAAAAAATAAATAAATGACAGATTTCTGACAACTATGGTAAATTCCAGAACTACCACTTATTTGCTATGAGATGTGAATGTCCCTTCTCAGCTATATAACTCAGTGATAATAATCTGAAAAAGTTAAGTATACATGCTATAATTAGCAAATGCTTAATTTTCATACTTATTTTTAACAAAATTTCCATATGCTTGCAAATGTGCACTTTGGAAATTCTAGTTATCTTTACGTGAGAAAGCTTTTCCTTTTTTCTTTTTATTTTTTTCCCCAGTAATATCTGTCTTAAGCAACTTTAATTTCAGAATGCTCTAGAGGACAACACTGAGGCTCTATAAGAGTAAAAGCAATGAAAACATTACTTGTATTCATAAACCAACTTCTACTGATCATAGAGAAAATAATTTTGCTACAATTTATTAATCTAATGTAGGAAGAAAAGTTCCAATCCAAAATTATTCTGATAACAGAAGGATTATCAGGGGGAAAAGGAAAAATAGGGGATGAATATATAGCTTGGCAGTACAGCATGTGCTTAGTGTGTGTAAAGCCCTGGGTTCAATCCCCAGAACCAAACTAAAATCAACATAAACTAAAATATAGAAAAATTAAATGGAAAATATTAAGGGATTATATATAAGTTTTAAAATTAAGTATTAATTTAAAAAAATCTTTATGAAGAATACATTTTTACATAGCTAAAACTCAATATACTCAATATTAAAGAAGAAAGTCATCATTATAATTTAAAAATACTGCAAGGTATTTTACCTGACGAAATATCTCTGTGACAAAATTCACATTGCTTCTTTTAGAAGAAAACACTCTGCGAACTATTTCGATGTCTGTGAGATGTTCTTCATCAATACTACAGAGACTAGATGAGCTAGGTTCTCGCTCTGTGAGAGTACTTGTATTGGAATGAGACTGTTCAGGTTCTGTAGTTTTGTCTGCTTTATCAACATTATCGTTTTTGTTTTCTTCTCTGGATACCAAACTAGCAGCTGCTCTCTAAAACAGGGAAAGAAAAAAGGAAAAGAATATCATAACTATTTAACTAAGCGTTTTCTTTTCAGCAAATACTGACAGAATCCAAAGCATTCTACAAATGGCCTACAGCACTGTTTTAAACCAGGTGCAGAATTCCATTTAGAATCCACATTCTGAACAACTAAGTGGAAATGCAAATAACTCAACATCTAAGCAATACAGAGGAACTCCAAAGTGTGTGGCAACTAATCATCTATCTAATTAAATCCAGGTAATTCCTTAAGAATAACTAAATAATTTAGAAGTAAATAGCACTAAACTTTTTTACCTAATAACGCCTTAATATTTTAAAATTTTCTGAAGCAAACAAAACAAAAAAGGAGTAACAAAATTTATGACAGAAAAAGCAGGAGTAAAACTAAAAGAAAAGCTTAAAAAATGTGAGAGAGAATTCTATACTGCACTAACAGAATTTCCACAAGACTCAAGACAAGCTTAACCCTCATATAAAAGCAAAAGTCTTCAGGAGGTGACTCAGTAAATTACTATCATCATATGGTAGGTGTAGCACTATTCTATGGTATGGTAAATTAGGGTATTCAGTTTTTGGTCTCAGTTTTATCATCCATGAAACAATATGTATGCCTTCACAATAAAAAGTTTGATTTTCCAGGATTAAAAAAATAGTTCTGCGTAAGTTTTTGCATTTAATAAATCTTGGTAGAGAACTTGGAACAAAGCTTTGGGGGAAACATACATTGCAGTCTGCCACAGATAAATTAAAGCCTAAGGGAATCTTTACTTCCATTTCCTGTATGGAGAGCAGGAATTATTTCTCCCTTTTCTCCCTCCTCCATTTCTCCTTACTTTTCCTGCTATCCTAAAATCCTTGCTATACATATATACACATATACATACATACATAGGTACATACATACCTAGATAGACAGATTACATAGATTAGATAAGATAGACAGACAGACAGACAAATGACTATAGGGGAATAAAGGTCAAAATTTCTGAGCTCTAATGGATTAAGCACACTTTATAACTTCATCCTGTTTTGAAAAGATTTAAGTTTCACCATGCCTTCCCCCCAAAAATCACACAGTTAAAGATTTTAAAAACTAAATGAAGAGCAGCTCAAATGGTAAAGCGAGATTGACTAGCAATCTCAAGGTCCTGAGTTCAAAAGCTAGTATTGGAAAAAAAAACAAAACACCCTCAGTGATAAAATCTAAGAAAACAAAAATAAAAAAATAGTGAGTGCACAGTAATATAGGCAAATTAAGAAGGAAAACAAAACAATGACAAAGAAGTATAAAGAAGAGACAAAGCTATATAATTAACAAAAATAGTTTCAAATGCTAGTTCCTCCATTGTATAGCTTTTGCATCACATTTCTAAACTTAGAGTCTGTTGAAAAAAAATGAAAGGGACTGGGGGGCAAGATTTTAAATCTACATTCAGAAAATGTTTAGAAATTCAAAAAGGTTGTCATGGTTCTATCATTTGATTGTAGTTCTTTTTTATTTGTACAGTTCAGAATAGTAGCTCTTCCTAATCCTTGGTCTTCTTTGGGAGGGGCAGGGTGGGGATACGAAATTGGAGTTTGAACTCAGAACCTCATGCTTGCTAGGCAGCCCTTTCTGTGTCGGGTATTTTTGAGATAGGGTCTCCCAAACTATTTGTCTGGGCTGGCCTCGAACTGAGATCCTCCTGACTTCTGCCCCCTGAGTGGCTAGGATTACAGGTGTGAGCCACTGGCATCTGTCTCCTTATCCCTGGTTTTGCTTTTGTGCTTTCAGTTACCTAGTCATACATGATCCGAAAGTATTAAATGGAAAATCCCAGAAATAATTCATAAGTTTTAAATAATTTTTATTATAGTACATTGTTGTGTTTGTTTTACTATGTAGTTATTGCTTGATTTACTTGATTTTATTATTATTGTTAATCTTTTACTATGTTGTTAATCTAGGTTACTACATTATTCTTACTATTAAACTTACAAGTTTAATTTATACACAAGGTATATATAAATAGGTAAAAACATAGCATATATAGGATCAGCACTATCTGCAGTGCTAGTAATCCCTGGGAGGTTTTGGAATGTACTCCATGGATAAGAGGGACTAATATACAACTAAAGTACATTAATACATTAGAAGCTAAGACTGATATATGGCTGAAATTATCTTCTAAACACTCCAAGTTTTATTTTGTATTAATGCAGTTTTTATTTGCATAATAATTGTTAAAATTTGATTTATAAAATACATTCATACAAATAAAATATCACTATTATTTGTTTTAAATATGCTGTACATATTGTACTGATTACATATTGTATTGTAATTAGTGAACTAAATCTCAAGGGCATTTCAACTTTTAACAACTTTGCCTCATTTCTGTACTACCTGAATATTCTTTGGCAAGATTTCACCTTCCATCCCAGGAATATGAGGTCCTGCGTGTGGTTTTGGCTCCAACCAGAAAGAAACCAGCCAACGAATGACAATAACACGAGCTTTAATGAAAGGCTCCTTTGTACAATAGATTGTTTCACTGGTTTCAGCATCCTTCTTTATCATGACATAATGTGGCTTTGGTCTCACCTGTGGAATATCTATGTAAAATGAAAGGAAAATAAAACAGGAATTATCCTTTGATAAACCTGACAAAACACTATGACGGTACTCTGGTTTCAGAAGTAACTTCAGTAAAAAAGAAACAAGCATTTTACAGTTTGCTAGATATTAGCATGGAACATGCAAGAGTGAACCACATATACCAGGCTAATATGTGAAAACATGTTTTCTTGCAAAATATCAACAGGTTTGATGAACTGGGTATGGTGGTTCATGTCTGTAATTCCAACACTTGGGAGGCAAGATCGTGAATTCCAGGCAAGCCTGGTTACATAGTGAGTTCAAGAACAGCCTGTATTACACAGCCTGTATGTACCCTGTCTCAAAAAAAAAGTTCAAAGAATTCTGCCCAGGTGCAAATAAGCTTCTAGAACCAAGTTATACATAATATGAAGTTTTGCCTGAGCCTGTCAGCTGCCTAACTTTGCATTAGGAACATCTTTCCTCAGACAAAGAAGAGGTCTGCTTCTTGGTTTTTGTTCTGGCAATACTGGGAGTTGAACTCAGGGCCTTGTGCTTGCCAGGCAGGTATTCTACTACGTGAGTCACACTCCCAGCCTTTGAGATCTGCTTCTAACCCAGGATTTATCCAAAGGTTCTAGTTTCAATGTCTCAGCAAATATCCTGACAAAGTCACTAAATACTGGACAAGAAATAATTTAAAAATATAACAAGTTATTATTCATATAGAATTTGACTAATACTTAAGAAAAAAATTATAACATATAGTCTAAGTATTGTACCAAACATTAGAATTTAACTTAAAACTAACAAGTATTTCTGGTGGGTTAACTTTTCTAATGGAAAAGATTCAGAAAAGTCTTTTTTTTAGAAACAAAAAAACAAAAATTCTTCATATTAATGGAAATTTCCAGTTAATATAAATTTATTTTCAGTATGAATCTGGGTACAGTATCTCTACAAACCAATGCAAATAGTAAATGTGGTCAATTTTCTGTAATTAACAAATGCCAATTTTACACTGAAAGATATTTTATTCTTATGTGTGATCTTTTAGAAAATTCCAAAAACTACTTACCAAGTACAGGATGATATAAACTATTCTCCTTGCAGATATTTGGAAAAATATAAGGCAAATAATATTTCTTAAAATGTGAAAACAAAAATGAAAATCCTCTTTCTTGGTTTTCTTTGTTCTTCCATTCTAAACTTTTTACCTAAAAATAAAAAAATAATTAGAATCATGCCAGGAGACAGAATCCCTTAAGTACAATTATCAATTCTTATAAACAAAAGCTTTAAAAAGTTACAATATACTTTACTACTACATTGGGAAGGTCATAATATACAGCAAAAGGTCAACTCGTTAAAACTGGTCTAATAAACAAAATACATTACATATTTTCAAAAACCTTAGAACTAAAATGTGCTCTGAAAAGCTATGAAAAATGACTCAAAATTTGGGTGTACTCAGAAATGTTCCTAGCAATTGTAGCCAACTGGCCCTCCTGTCTTTGGGCCAAGGCACATCCATGTCCTTCTGAACCAGATTTGCCCCCAAGGCCACTGCTGAGGAGGAAGGACTCTGGTTAAGTTACTGACACCATTATCTCTTCTGTTGCCCTCTCTTTCAGGCCTTGCATAGAAAGGTGTTAACCACTGTCTAAGGCAGTCCTTTGACATCCTAATCACGGCCACTTCAGGCAACAGCCTTTTTTCAGGACTCCATTCAGGAAGAGTCCAGGGAGGCTGAGCCTTAACTAAGTTGAACCTAGGAAGAAGAGCAGAGCAACAGTCAAGGCAGCCCTAGCCCCCCACCCCTACACCATGGAAGGGATCATCCCTACACTGACCCCAGCAGCACCCCTGGCACATAGGCTAGAACCAGTCTGGTGGCAAAGACTCTCCTCCTCAAATAAATATTTATTCTGTTCTTTAAAAAATTGTCTAGATTAATGATAACAATATTACTGCTCTTCCCTCTCTGCCTCTTTCTGAATAATTCAGGTTAAAGGTATACAAAGTAGGCACATGTGGCCAAGGGGTGTATATGTGTGCATGCTGTGGCAGTGATCAAGTTCACATCATCAAATCCAACCACAAGAAACAGGTATCCAAGAAAGAGATATAGCAATGCAATAGCCCAGTGGAAACTCAGAACTTAAGATGGGTAAGGAGAACTAGAGTAGAAGGACAAGAGGAGATAGAGTATTATATGATATGGGTCTCCAATAGGATGAGGAAAATATCTAAGCAGGAGATGGCAAAGGCCCGGTAGGGTATTAAAGCCCAGTCAAGTTAAGGAGAATGTCTGTAGAACAGCATGGTGATTATGGGAAATTTGGTTACCTACAGCAAGGGCTGATTAGGGCTGTGGAGTGGCTCAGGTGGTAAAGAACTTGCTTAGCACGCATGATACCCTGGTAAAATACTAAGAATAATGTGAATCAAGTTTCTCACTGACAGAGGAAGAAATAAGAATGAGCCCTGTTAGACACTAAGATACTGGTATGAATTCATGGAAAAGAGGGTGTGTCTGTGTGTGTGTGTGTGTGTGTGTGTGTGTGTGTGTGTGTGTGTGTTCATGGAAAAGAGGGTGTGTGTGTGTGTGTGTGTGTGTGTGTGTGTGTCTCCACACAGACACACATGTGTGCATGCACATTCTCTAACTTTGGCCACTGAAAGGATCCAGGTAACTATATCCAGTGGCAACAGCAATGAGCATTCTGGATGTCTGGATCTTGGATGCTAATGCTAATACAATTCTCTGAGTGCCACAAGAAAAGTATGATATGAGACTGGAACATCCTGCTGTGCCAGGAAATAAGAAAATATGTCAGAGACAATTAAACATGCATAGAATTCAACTTGAAGGAGTTTCCACTGGCCAAATCTGGGATTATATGAGCATCAAGGAAGTAACAATAATAAATATTAACACAGGGATTCATTGGAATTCGTGAGCCTATGCTGAAATAATTACATGAATAAATAAATAGGAGGTGAGCTTTTGCTAACAGCACTTTGCCAACTTGAATGTAAAAGTAATGACAGGATTAAACTTAAATATCCACCAACTGATGAAGAGATAACCATGTGGTATATCTACACAATAGACTATTATTCAGTAATAAAAAGTATGATACATGTTAAAACGTGGATGAATTTTGAAAACATCTGCTAGTTGAAGAAGCCAATAAAAAAAGATTACATTATGCCTGCCTAGAAATGAGCATAAGGCCCTGAATTCAAACCCCAGTGCTGCCAAAAAATAAAAAAAGACTATGTTATATGATTCTATTTTGACTACACTGTATGATTCCATTTATATAAAATGTCCAGAATAAGCAAATATGTAGACAGAAAATAAATTAGTGTTTGCCTAGGGTAGGGGATGGAGGGACTAGGAAAATAAGAAGATTGACTCCTAATAGGTTTGGGATTTCATATTAAGGGGACAGACATGCTCTAAAATTATTTGTAGTGGTGGTTGCATAACTTGTGGATATACTTTAAAAACACTGATCTGTATATTCTAAGTGAGTGAACTGGATGGCATGTGTATTATTTCTCAATAAACTGTTCTTTAAAAATTACATGCCTGGAGCAGGTGGAGTGGTTCAAATGGTAAAGGGCCTGCCTAGAAGGTGTGAGGCCCTGAGTTCAAACCCCAGTACTGCAAAAAAAAAAAAAAAAAAATTTACATGCCTGTAATCCTGGCACTCAGAAGAGGAAGGCAAGAATATTGTGAGTTTGAGGCCACCCTAGTCTATATAGCAAGATCCTGTCTCCAACAACAAATGAGTGTGTGTGTGTACTGGTAACCATGCTAGTAAGAATTCAGCCAGTCTTCAATGGTTACTGAAACTGTATGGGTGAAATTTTGATGAAGGGGGATATTTACATAGTTACAAAGTACTTTTCCCCCAATATGCTTATTGAGTAAAAAGAGAAAATGAGCAATATTATACTGAAAAAACTAGCAGACACTAACTTAGTCAAGGGATCAAGAACCAAAGATCTTCATGTAACACATAAAACTACAAAAAATTTTTTTAAAAATACAGTGTCTTTGTGACAGTATATTAGACAAAGATTTCATTCTTAGAAGTAACACCAAGTCACTTCCATATAAGAAAAAAAAAAACTGATCTACTGATCTTCATCAAAAGAACTCAAAAGCAGAACTGGGTGTGGTGGTACATACCTGCAATCCCAGCACTCAAAGCAGAAATAAGATGCTCTTAGAGGCCAGCATGGGCTACATAGTGAGTTCCAGGCCAGCTTGAGCTAGGTAGCAAAACCTTACTTAAAACCAAGGGCTATGATGTGGCTCAGTGACAGAATGCTTGCCTAATATACACAAGGTCCTAGGTTCCATTCCTAACACCCCACACATCCACACATCCACC